GCCGGTTGAGTAGAGAACCCTAGTCTGGCCTTTTTTCGGTCAGTCCGGATGAACTCTAGATCCGGATAGAAAGTTATGCGTCGACTGATGTCGTGTCCGTGCGTATGCACCCGGACCACGATTAAGTCGAGTTGCACCCAGTCAGATAAATAAGATCAGATCAGTCAGATAAGTTAGATCAGACAAGCAGTCCAGACTTAGAAATATTTCAGAGAACTCTAGAATGCCTTAAAGTCAGCAAATCTTTTCAGAACAGCTCAAAGCATCTAAATCCAGATTAAATGATATTTCAATCAAGCGAGAGAACCGAGTAAGATATATTAATAATAAGAACCAAGTTTTTATTTGAGCTTAGTACTTAGTACATTTTGCTCAAATATTTATGTAGCTTAAGGAGAGTCGAGCCTCCGACAGCTACCAGTCAGTCAGCACTTGCCTAGCAGTAGCAGTTATCAGGTGGGGGTCACGTACTGGTTATACATCATCTTTAATTTCCGTACCATGTCCGAGGTATGTATGAAATAGTTAGTTCATCATGAGGGAGGCCGTGGCGGGCCTTAATGATCCCCCGTGATTCTGAGTGAGGCCTTAATTGGCCTTAATGATCCCCCGGAGTGTGCACATGATTGGCTTTTAAGCCCAGGGTCTTTATGACCACCAGATGCCCTAGTTACAGTTTCAGTTCAGCTCAGTTCAACTCAGTTCTTATATACTTAAAGTCATGATATTGTTATTAACGATGCTATATAATTAAGTACTGGTCTTTGCGGAGCATAGTGGTTTTGCTCACGCCCCCACTACGTTTTTCAGGTGACGGAGCGGCGCGTGGCGCGTGAGATTTCAGTGGTGGTCATGGTCATTAGCTGTTTTTTTGTAATGCATCTACATGTCATTTATTGAACATGTACTATTATTACTATGCGTAGACATATTATGTTTCAGCTTCCGCACATTTCAGACTTAGTATGTATTATGAGAATATCAGACTTATGCATGTATAATGCCTTTATCTCCGTGGTACCTTTATATAACGGATTTGATTAGGTTGCATGTATTTATTTACGTCTGCATGAGAAAGAGTTTAAGTTAGTAGCATCCCGCAAGTTAGTATGAGTATTTTCGAAAATAAAGTTTAAGAGTTTTTTGAAAATAAAAAGCAAAAATTTTACTCTGATTTTATAAATTCTAGAAATAATTAGGCGGGGTGTTACAGTTGGTATCAGAGCCACTTTGTGGTTCTGTATACTTAAAAAGTTTAGAAAAGCATGACCACGCCACGCTCACGCCGCGCCGACTCTGAGGTAATTCACCTAAGTCTTAAATTTCTGCAAGTGCATGAGAATATAGTAAGAGACCTTAGGGGCCATCTGTAACACCCCGCTACTTGTAATACATCAGAGTACGCGATTTTCGCAAATTTTCTAAATAATTAAATAAAATACTAATAAACTTCTTATTTTGCGAAACTGATTCGGGGGCTACCGTGAAAAAAGACTTGATTTTCTGAAAACCGTTAAAATTTTTAAACTGATAAATAAAACGGTCATAATGTCTTATCCGACAAACATCGGAACAAAGTCTGATAAAGAGTACTGAAAAGATTTAGCGGAAGTCTAGCGTGGCAAAT